TTTTAAAATATATTCCCATTCTTAAAATGGGAAACTCTGTCCCTATAAAAATATTAGCTAAACATTCATTTCCTACAAAAGAAATAAAGTATTAATAACATTTAAATCTTGCTAGTAACCAGAGGGTTACTTTATAGTTAGCAAAATGAACGTAAAAACTACTTTATAAATGTTCATTTATGTCTCAGCCATTTGCTGTGTTTTAACCATTTGGAAATGTATCATACTTAATTATAAAAATATTTATACATATATGAATATATATGAATATATTAGTATGTATATACATATGTGTGTGTATGTACACATTTTAAGTCTCTTTATAGCAAGCTCACATTATTGGACTTTTAATTATTTTAAAGATCTGATTACTTTAGTACTTAAGAAGGACATTTCATTTATTCTTTCAGGTCACTGGGGCACTGCTAAGTGCAATTTTAAAATACATTAAGGTTTTACTTTGGAAGAAGGAAAAAATGTTCAGAAGGGTAAGTCATTTTAATTAGGATTTTTAAGGAGACAGACGAATTACCAGCATGTATTTTTAGGTCCTAACCACCTACAAGCGCTTTGTCCAACCCAAGGAGAAATGGAGCTAAAAACATGTTTTCGAGTTCTTCATCATCTAGAATAAGAGGTTCTCATTGTACCCAACCAACAGAGAAGGGCAGTAACCCAACTTGAAACAGTGATGGGAAATGCTTATGGGAGCTTTCAAGGGTGTCTAGTTCACCTTAGGGAAGATTTAGGTTAAATGTCTAACCAGAAAGAACAGAAGGGGCTTGAGGTTAACCATCTTGTTAACCATATCCAGCGCCTTCTCTCTGCTTCAGGTGACACTCAGGATGGCAAGCCCCCAGCTCCCTCCCCTTCCAGTCACCCTGAGCACTCTTCCTGTACTCCTCCTCCATCCACCCCACCTCCCCTCAAGCTTCTGCTCAGCTTCTCCTAACACATCCCGTTCCATGAACAGAATCGCACACCTCAACTTTCTGTGAATGACCTAGACCTACAAAGTCCAATAGAAATATAATGGAAGACAGATGCGAACCACACATGTTAATTCTGTCTTCCAGTAGGGGCATCTAAATAAGTAAAGAGAAACTGGTGAAACTATTTTTAATAATATATTTCATTTAAACCCAACATATCCAAAATATTACTTCAATATATAATCAATATAAAATAATTGAGATGTTTTAAAGTCTTTTAATATAAATTTCTGATATCTGATGTGTATTATAAACTCACAGCATATCTCAGTTTAGACTAACCACATTTCAAGTGTTCACAATCACATGTGGCCAGTGGCTGGTGGCTACCTAATTGGACAGCACAGACCTCTCTCACGGCAATGAAGATGGTCCCAAACTCTTAGAATGACTGCGTATTGCTAGATAAAGGGATCATGTGTGATATTTTAAAAATAACTTTGGATTATCTATATTTTTATTGTTCTCCAACAAACACAAATGGCAGGTGTTTGTGTATTTTAAAAACTTGTGATTTTAAATCTCTTTGACATAGGGGAATTTCAATGACTGAATCTTCACATTCACGCCCTAATGTAAGTTGTTATTTTTTAATCCTCACCCAAGGACATTTTTTTTCACTTTTGTTCAGATAGAGTGGGAGGGAGAGAGAGAAACATCGGTGTGAAAGGGACACATCGAGTGGCTACCACCCACACGACCAACCAGGGCCAGGGACAAACTGCAACCGAGGTACATGCCCTTAGCGGGAACCGAACCCGGGTCTCTCAGGACCGCAGGCTGATGCTCTAACCGCTGAGCCAAACCGGCCAGGGCAGTTGTTATTTTTTTAATGACACGTGGCCTCAGCATCTGTCTTCACTTCAACATATTCAGCCAGACCTAGTTCCTAACTGCTCCACCATCACAAACTATGCTCCCTGCTGCCTGCAGCCCCCCCCCCCACCTTCTCCTTCCGCAGACCACTTGGTTGGAGGTACAGATGTTCCATACCCCCCACCTCTGCACAAAAATAACCCAAGCTCCATTTCTAGTTTTGCTTTAGTAGATCTGAGGTCACTGGGATATTACTTGAAGCATTCAAATTCAAATTCAAATTCAAATTATAGAAAAGGCCTCTGTCTTCAGTGCTGCTTCAAAGTATTTTAAATTAAGCTTATTATTTACTTGTACCTAAAATTAGATACACTCAAAAGCTGTTATATGTCCCACTTTGGTTTTTTTCTTTCTTTCTTTTTTTAATAGCCTACTGGTTCTCCACAAGCATCAGCATCAGCAACTTTTTTTTTTTTTTTTTGGTTAATCCTCACCTGAGGATATTTTTTCCATTGATTTTTAGAGAGAGTGGAAGGGAGAGAGGGAGGGAGTGGGGGAGGGAGGGGGAGGGAGAGAGAGGAGAGGGAGGGAGGGAGTGGGGGAGGGAGAGGGAAGGAGTAGGGGAGGGAGAGGGAGGGAGGAAGAGAGAGAGAGAGAGCTGGGCGAGAGCAACAACAATATGAGAGACTCTGCAGTGTACAAGCTGGTACCCTAACCTCTGAGCCACCTGCAGGGCAGTGACTAATGCTTTTTTAATCCTCACCGTAGGATATGTTTTTATTGACTTTTAGAGAGAGAAAAAGGGAGAGAGAGAGAGAACCATGGAAGAGAAATATCAGTTGCCTCCTGTATGCACCGTGACCGGGGATCAAACCCACAACCTAGGTATGTGCCCTGCCTGGGAATCAAACCCGAAAACTTTTGGTGCATGGGCTGAAGCTCCAACCAACCGAGGCACCTGGCCAGAGCATCAGTTTTTAATCAGAGACTGCACTTCTCACCTCAAAGATTATGACTAAAATAATGTTTCTGGAGTTTAAGTAGAGAAGCAGTTTAGTCCATGAACAATGTGAACTTGAGGCACAGTTTAAGAAGTTAAATGGGCTTGCATTAGGAAGCCTATAGATTTTTTTTACTTCATCACACAGTTGTTTTCCGGTTGCTCTATTTGCCACCCTCATAAAAACAGGTTTGCCCCCCTCCCCCGCTTTGAAAGGTGGCATGTGGAACCCTGAACTGGGGGAGTTACAAGACCTGGGTTTCAGTCCTCACCACCAATGGCCAACCAGCTATATGACCTTGGGTGAGGTCCATGCCCCCTGCTGGTTTTGGCCTCCCAGGCTGTAACAGGGGGGTTGACAATACAGTGCTCTCTCAGGCTGCCTCCAGCATGACCATTCCTGACCTAGTGCTAATCTTCCTCCATCCCATTATCCCCCAAACCAATGCCTCCTCATGCATCTCCTCTTCCTAAGTGAGAAGGTGGCTGGCAGTACAGCAGTGAAACGGGAAAGAAGGGGGGGGGGGGTCCTAAAATGAGTCACCTTTCAAGAATTTATTATCCTCTGGAGTCTGGGTGCTTGCTCATGGTGTTAAATCAGTGTCTGCAATGAGACTTGCTCTAAGAACCTTGTATTTGTTATGTCTACTATTCTTGGATGATGCTGACACTAGACACTCATCTCTCTTAAGAGACGGTTGTTGGTACAAAACAACACTGAAGTTATACATCAAGCAGATATCAGCAGCCACATAAATCGACTTTAGTGCAACCTGGAGAAAATCAGATCAGAATCACAGAGTTTTAATTAGGTCTTCACACCAGCTTTTGATAAGTTAGAGAAAATAAATTACAGCTCCCCAGACATCCCACTTAACCTCTCCAGGATCCTACAGCACCCTAAAATCTAGCCTGCAGCAAAAATTACTCCCCACCCCTGAAGGCTGGCTGCAGTGACACCCAGGAGAGCTTCCTCCCCCCAGATTCCCTCACCAAGGCCCAAGTCTGGGGCAGCAGATGTTATGTGGTCTGTGCTGCTTTCTCTGGCCTGATTTTTCATGCTGCCATTTTGAATTAGCATAGGTTTCCTCTGCGACCCATGCATCGTCTAGCCAGGCTGGGAATACAGTAGACACACACCCTACCAGGAAGCCTGCCACAGCCTAATTTAAGACACCAACAAACCGGAATTCAACAACAAATCCGGAAAGCCCGTATTATTTAACAGAACCCTGACTCACAGCAAATGACAGCTTCCTTAGGTGCACTTGGGGTTACTGGACATTTTAACCCTTAAATCCGAGCTTGCATCAATTCTCTAAAGTTCAAGCGTTCCTCCTGCTTTGCAGACCACACTCATCTCACGGAGGATGCACGGGCAGACAGAAGTGGGCAACCGTCTCAGAAGTGCCTGCGTGCCTTTTACCAGTAAGTGCCCCCTGGCTCCATCGCGTTAACCTGCCCGGACCCCTTCCCCCAAGAACCACCTCGGGCGTGGCTTCAGGGCAAGTTGTGTCAAGTCCTGCAGCCCGGTCCCGCGGGGACGAGAGCAACAGCCGAGCGAATGCAGTCCCCGGGCTCCACTCCGGGCCGCGCACCGGGTGGACGCGGGGACAGAGCGGGGCCACCGGCAGCGCCCCGCCAGGCAGCCATGTTCGCGCGAGCCCACCCGCGGCAGGTGCGCTCCTCCCGGGAAGGTGCCAGGCCCGCTCTCGAGCCCCACTGAGCCCCGAACCCCAGTAGCGGGGATACTGGTGGCGGGGGTGGGGGTCGCACAGGCACAGACCCCAACGAGGCAACAACTTCGATATCAAGAACAGGACACAGGAAAAGCCACCTGGGGACGGGGGTGAGAGTTAAAGGGAGATGGGGCAAAGATGGGGTTCGGTGTGGAGAGCGGGGCACGTTCCCACCAGGCTGCAGTGTCCGCGCCCGGGTGAGGCGTCCCTCCCTTGCGCCCTCGCAGCCCACAGACCGGAGTCACCCCCGACCCCGGTCCGAGGCCACCAGTCCCCTGCTCCCCGAGACCCTAGCTCGCCCCCGCCGGGAATGGGCCCCGGGCAGCGCCACCGCGGGTTCGGGGGGACAGCGGGAGGCGACGAGGCACAAGGCGGCGACGGTGGATGGGGAGTGAACCGCGGGAGAAGCGGCTGCAGATGCCCTGCGCTCCCATCGTGCCCGCCGCGGCTCACCTGCGGGCCGGCGGGCTCCGGGCTCGGCTCTGCGGGGCGGATGCTGCGGCCGCCGAGGGTGCAGGTGCTGCCGCGGCAACTACTGCGGCGACATCCGGGGCTGCGGCTGCAGTGGCCGAGGCGGCCGTCGGCGCTTCTCCCTGCACAGACTCGGGTGCTCCGGCCCACCGCCCCCGCTCGCAGTTTGCTCGGCTCACGTGACCGCGGGCCCACCCCCTCCCCTCCGGGCCCGGGGCCGCGCAGCCCCAGCCGCGTCGGGCCACCCGGGCTGCAGCGCCGCTCTCCGCCAGGCAGGGGAGGGCGCCTGGCGGCGGGAGGGGCGCGCGGCAGGAGGGGCGCGCGGCAGGGTGGGTCTCACCGCGGAAGGGACTCTTGGCTCGACTTTGATTTCTCGGGCATCGCCCGGGTGGCAGCTGTCTTTCAAGGGAAAACCCGGGCTTTAAGGCCAGGCCCCGCGTCCTCCCGGGCCTCTCCGGGGCTCTGCCGTTTGGTTGCTACGTGCGGGCCTTGGCGCCTCGGCCAGATTTCCCCGCGGATAAACGTGCCCTGTACTTCGTTGACTCACATGTCCAAGCCAATTCCCTGGTTTTAAAGATGCCATCCTGTGCCACGTTGATATCCCAGACCCTGTGCTGGGTACTTAGGCAATGAGACCCAAAGAAGTTTAACTCTCCCAAGGTCACACAGCAAGTAGCAAAGCCAAGATCCCATACCTGGGTTAATAACACAGCCCAGTGACAAAGGGTGTGTGTGTGTGTGTGTGTGTGTGTGTGTGTGTGTGTGTTCTGGCGGCAAGGTCGTTGTACATGACCATCTATGTATCTGTTAACAAACTAGAGACTACCTTTTATGAATTAGTAAAAAAAAAAAATCCTGTAAAGAAAATTCACAGAAAAACAAATGCAATGCCACCCAGGCACATAAAAAGATATTCAGGCTCACTTAGCTACAAATCAAATACACAAGGTAGCATTTTCCATCCGTCAGATTAGCAAAACTAAAAAGTTGTATAACTTCCCCCAGGGGACAATTTGGCAACAGCCCTCCAAATAACAAATACACACACACACACACACACACACACACACATATAGTTTGGAGGATTCCACTTCTGAAATTTATCCTACAGATATGACACAAGTGTGAAATGATGTGAGTACAGGTTATCCATTGCTATATTTTTTGTGCTAGCAAAGATTGGAAACAAATGTCCATCAATTGGGGACTGTTCAAATAAATTATAGCACAATAAAATGAAATGCTATCCCGCTATTTTAAAAAAATGAGAAAGATCTCTATGTACTGATATGAGAAATTTTCAATCTATACTAAGTAGGGAAGGAAGCCATGTGCAAAGCATTGTGTGTGTTATCATTTATGGGAAGAAAAAATATATGCCTGAACTTTATTTGCAAATGCAGAGAATATCTTTGGAAGGATACTTTAGACCCTGTAATAGTAGATGCCACCAGACAGAACTGGGTGACTGGATGGAGGGAAGGATACTTTTTTGCATGTCTTTTGAATGTTATGCTTATGCCTGTGGTTTGCCACATGAGCAAATGCATAGTAGGAGAGGACAGAGGGAATCTGTGCAGATACTGTAGAACAGAGCAGTGGTACACATTCCACAAAGGGACCTTATTGTGCATTTAATCCAACCAAGGAATCTGTAGCCCAATGAGTTTAAATAATCAATATTAAATATTTCTACTGAATTTTCTGAGGCTGGGGCTAGGGAACCTGCATTTTGTCGTGCTATCTAGTTAATTCTCTTGCACATTGAAATCTGAGAGCCACTGGTGTAAATGCGTAGATTAAGGGCACTCAGTCATCAATTCTAGGAAAGCAAATCCAATTGTATGCCTTCCTGTAGCCATGTGTCACTTTTCATGTAAAGGATGACACGTTGGTGGCAGCATGGAACACAGACATGGGAGCCTCCCGGGCCACCTGCTTGGCCTGATGTCTTTGAAGCCTATTGACATGTCTCTACTCAACCACAGGGCTTTGGGGCCAGGAGCCCAGGAACACATGAAGATAGAGAGGCATCTGCTTTCCTCAAGGTCGGCATGAAGAAACTTGTTATATGGTATTATTAGCATTTGTTAAGCAGCAGCAATACACTTTGTCTCTGCTTTGTAGACAAGAGACAGACCCCTCTGCTATCGAGCCACACAAAGAGATAAGGGAAAGAGCAGCCAAACAGATATGGAGAACATCAAGAAATATCAACAAGGATTTGAATCGTTGTCCTCTACCAATCACGTGAGGTATAGGTGTGAGTAAATTACAAGGTTTCTGTGAACTACCTGGCAAGGAAAAAATTTGTCTAAAATAACCTGCAATTATTACACAGTCATTTATACTCCATCTAGCCATGTTCAGAGATTTAAGAGTTAATAAATAAAAGTACATCAAATCCCCCCACCCCAAGAGAGAGGCAGAGATTTCTCTTTCTCTGGAATAAAAAAAGCGGGTGGAGAGTGGGGGATTGGTAATTTCATCTTTTCTGCATTGTCATGCAGAGATACTCATAAAATCTCCCTCTAGTCACCTGTATCAGGGGGAAAGCACTATGGAAACATTGCTGGCTTTATTTGCAAACACTAATATAAAAGTAAATTTAATGAGGAAACTATAAACTATTAGATTCTGACAGGTTTCAAAAATGTCATAACTCTATTCTTCATACCTTCCCTTAATTTGGATTTACTATCAAGTACTTTCATAAATTTCTAGTTTATTCTGAACACGAATAATCAGTTGGCCTGGACTGAAAGAAGGGAAGATAACCTAACATCAGTGGAAAGTGACCAATGGAGGACCAGTTTGGATTGGATCTTCACTATAGACTCACTTCTCTGGAAGTCACTGAGATGGTGTTTTGAGTGTAAGAGGTTCAGAGGGATCAACACGTGTAAAAGGAAGGGGGCAGAAACAGGACTGAGTAGAGGAAGGTGTTGAACTGCAATGAAAGCCCAACAGATCCTCAGCCAATCTAGTAGAGAGCTCCAGAGCAACTCTTGTCCATGAGCATGTTCTGCATAGAGCCAGATGGCCAGGTCTTCATACGCCACCTTGCTTGGTCAGTAGAAGTGGGCTGCATAGAGCCAGATGGCCAGGTCTTCATACGCCACCTTGCTTGGTCAGTAGAAGTGGGCTGCCCTGGGAAGGGCATGCTTTCCACAGGGTGGTTCCCTGCAGCTGCGGTAGAAGGAGCTGGTAACCAGAGGTTGGAAGGTACCCTCAGTGTCCACCACAATAACTAATACCAATGTTTTCAGTTTGGAGAAAATAAAGCTGCCACCAATATTCATCTATAAGTCTTTGTGTAAATGTAAGCATTCATTCCTCTTAGATAATACCTAAGAGTGGAATTGGTGAGTCACATGACAGGTATATATTTCAATTCATTGGGCAAATCTCATAGGAATGAACCACTGGCAATATTATATGAATGAGACACTCATGTATGGGTAAGGAAGTCTGTAATTGCCTTGTATATAATCTTATGAGAACCAAAGAAAGGAGCCAACAGAAAAGCCATGAAAAGATGGGAAAGAAAAGTACTAGTCAAGATGACAATCATGCTGAATTTGGTTATCATAGAGATAAATCTTTAGAATACCCTCAAATCAACTTACAGAATTACTGCCCATATTGAATACAGACAACACAGAGAGAATATAAATATTAAAATCCATTTTAAAATTACTTTTAGAATTTAAATGCTCCATCAAGCCCTTTTGGATAGTGCTAATTTAAACAACCATAAATTGTATTCTAGCCAAAGGTATAAAATTCTATTCGTTATATTTAGGTGATGGGTTTCTGAATTCAATTATTCAAATGTGTCATTTCAATGAATGGTTCCCACTTCATTTTAAATGACAGTTAATCAATGTTCTGAACCTAGTTTTAAAAACAAATTATTATGTATGCATCACACTCACTGCTGTACCTTCAGGAGCCATTCAGGGTTCAGTCAACTGTACAGATAATTTAAAAGGGAACTGCTCAGTCTTCATCTGTGACCATCAGAGAATAGACTGGGGGATTCTATGGTGAGATTTGGGAGTTTCTATATAATCCTCTCTTGCACATATGTTTTCCTGTGTCGAAAAGGTCTACCTGATGCTCTGTACAGTTTTATAATAAGGCTTGTGCCCAACTGGTCTGGCTCAATGGTTGAGCACTGACCCATGCACCAAGAGGTTGCAGGTTTGATTCCCGGTCAGGGCACATGTCCAGGTTGTGGGCCGATTCCCCAGTCGGGGGCATGCAGGAGGTAGCCAGTCAATCTTCTCTCCCATCGATGTTTCTATCTCTCTCTCCCTCTCCCATCTTCTCTCTCTAAAATCAATAAAAAAAAAGTTAAATTAAGTTAAAAAAATAAAATAGGGCTTGTTGCCCTGGCCAGTTTGGCTCAGTGGTTAGAGCATCGGCCTGTGGTCCAGAGAGACCCAGGTTCGGTTCCTGCTAAGGGCACGTACCTCGGTTGTAGTTTGTCCCCGGCCCTGGTTGGGTCGTGCGGGTGGCAACCACTTAATGTGTCCCTTTCACATCGATGTTTCTTTCTCTCTCTCTCTCTCTCTCTCCCTCCCTCCCACTCTATCTGAACAAAAAATGGAAAAATGTCCTCGGATGAGGATAAAAAATATATATTTTTTGTGACACCGAGACATGTTTCAATAGATGAAATCTTATCCAGAATTGTCAAAGTTGAACCTGTTGTATCTACAATTTTAACACCACTGCTCACTTGAGATAATATATAACTTTAAATAAAAGTTACTATTAGGTATTTTCCAATTCTTGAAAGAAGTGAATGAAGTCTCTCAAAATTGCTCTAGGAATTTCAGATTCAATTAAATAAAGACGTCCTTCTTTTCATGAGTGATTAAACAATGATTCCACCTATGACAGAATGTATGAAATTTCTGACTCAAGAGAAAGAATATTTTGTCTTGGGCACTATTCTATTTTCCACGAAAGACCAGAAAACTGTTATTATTTTATGTCCTGTTGGACCAATTACCTGACTTTCAGAGAATTGAGAATGACCTAGATATATGAAAATATTTTAACTTTTAAATACCTGGTGATTCTTTACTGTTTTCCATTGATTTCCTACCCTTAATTATAACCAAGCC